AGAGTCTGGCTTTACTTGATGGTTGGCTTCAGCCTCCCTAAGGGCATTCCTAGTTACATTTACCTTAATTTCTAGGGTACAGCCTTTGAGTTCCTAACCCCACAGGCGGTCACTTCACAGACGTCCAGCTGCTTTAGATGACACACATGCCACATTGTGGTCTTTGTCCTACAGCACATGACAGGACTGATGAGCTTTTGCTTGTCATCCAGAGCTGGCAGACACCACTGCTGGGCTCGTGCCTCTGGGTATTTTGATTCTAACAGATCTTAGCACTAAGGCTCCTCACTGTCTCTTCACTCTCTGATGCCTTCAGACATATAGTTTTTGGGTATAGTGTTCCCAGTTATTTTTAGATAAGAGTATTCCCAAATACTTAGTCTTTCTGAATCAAGAGTCCCATTTTCAGTCTTCACAACAAGATACTGTTACCCTAGAGCCACTGAGTCAAGGCTAACACACAGTGGCGCTATGGGGTGAAGTACAACTGGCCCTTAGGGTTCTCAAGGCTGCCATCTTTCCAGAAGTGGACCGCCTCATCGCCTCGTCTTTTCTCCCACAGGATGCCAAGTAGGTTTGAACCATCGACCTTTTAGTCTCCATTTTACAGATGAAGAAAGTGAGGCACAGAGGGACAGCATCTCCTGCTCAAGGTTACTCACGTAATACAGAGCCAACTGCAAGCTCTAAGCTAGCATTTACACTGGTGTGCCATCACGTGTCCACCTTCCCAGGCTAGGACATCGGTTCTTTCATCTTGGAGCTCCGTGAACTCTATCCAGTTACTGCATCTTTCACTGGGCTCCACGGGCATCTCATTAATGATGCTGCCAAGCACTGTATGTGGTCCGTCTCCCCACTGCACTGCAGCCTCCCCAGGATGAGAATGGTGGTGATTGCATCCATGGCAGTATCTCCAATAACTGGTCCAGATGAGGCCATGCATGCTTGAGGGGTGAACTGAACGTCACTGCCACTCCTGTGTACTATGCCCCTGTCTTTCAGATGTCAACTTCAGAAACTTTATACATTTTGTTAATAAAAGAAAAGCTTTATTTTGTTGTTGTGTCTTATTTAGGACCATTGCAACCCCATGAGACAGAGCTGGGTTTTCCAGGCTGCAACATTTGTGGGGGTGGATCACCAACTTTCCCACAGAGGAGCTGGGTGCATCATCCCAACCACCAAATTTTTGGTCAGAAGCAGCTGAGCGTGTAAATTTTTCACCTCTTGGGCTTGTGGGAGCTACATGGGCGAGACTTGGAGGGATTGTGTGGTTCCAGATCAATGCAGTGATAGAAATCACAATAAAGTGAGTTATATCACATGTGCTTTTTTTTGGTTCCTGCTGCATTTAAGTGCTATTTTAATGATACTGCCACCTATGAAGAGTGCACTAGCATGGTGGAAAACTTCTAAATATTGTCATAATGACCAAATTGTGACACAGAGACACTAAGTCAGCACACGGCCCTGACAGATTGCCTCAATGCAGTGTTGCCTGAAGGCTTCTATTTGTAAAAAACTCAAATGCAGTATCTGCAAAACACAGTGAAGAGCAATGAAACTAGATGTGAGCCTGCATCAGCCCTGCGCAGCGGCTGCACCCTCAGCACCAGGCACAGGCCTTTCAACAAAAAGGTGCACAAAATGCTGTTAAAAATCAACACACTAAAGGAAAAAGTAATCAACACAGTAGGAGCGAGGTTTGCTGTGTTGGAACCGTACAACGTGGGGAGACATCACCGTCTCTAATAATGGGGCTCAGAGGACCCTCTTGGGGCCTCCATTGTGGCAGCCTGATTTTCAGGTCCCCTTCACAACTCTTCATCAAGTATTGTGACCATTTCTCTTATTCCTAATAGCCGTCACCTCACCCTGGAGCTTGTCCCATGCACTGTCCCCTTGTTCTCTTCTAAACACCCAGGTGGTAGGTACGTATCTCATTTTCCATAATGCACTTCACACCAGGTGGTGTGATGCACATTCTCGAGTCACTGAAAAAGCCCACTTCTATCTGTCTTGTATTTCTCTAGCATTCACATGGTGAGACTTGTAATGTGGGGGAACGTACTTCCTTAGAGGTGTCCCTGCTGTCAGAAACAAGCCCTCATGCAGCTCATGACCTAGACGGAGCTTGAAGACTGACGTCTCTGGTGGGGTTGACTTTTGAGAACCAGCTCATCATTAATGTTGAAGATGGGCCCCTGGGCATCCTCTCTGTCTCTTCCCTGAATCAAACCACCTCTGCTTTGCCCTAAACCAGAATCAGAACGAAAGAGGGCCACACGCAACAAGGTCGCTGGTTTCCCAAAGGGCATACTTGGAAAGCTCATCGTGCCAGGTGTCGCCTTTAGTCAAACAGGTGATGAGAGCTTCTCAAGTTTACAGAGCAGTGCGATCTCTCTCAATGCAACAAGTAAGCAAGAAGTCAAATGGCACAGTGTACTAGGCAAATCGGCAGCAAGGACCTCTTCGAAATGCTTAAGAGCGGAGATGGCATGTGAAAGACTAAAGTGAATTTGGACCAGGCCAGGGTCTCTTCAGCTGCCTCATATGCATATGAAAGTTGGACAGTGACTAAGGAAGACTGAAGAAGAATCAGTGCTTTGGAATTGTGGTATTGGTGAGGAACACTGACTATACCACGGATGCCAGGAGAATAAACAAATCCGTCTCGTAAGAAGTGCAGCCAGAGGGCTCTTCAGAAGCAAGGATCGTGAGACTTTGCCGCATGCACTGTGAGCACGTCATCGGGAGCGGCCAGTCCCTGTGGAGGACGTCACGCTTGGAAAAGCAGAGTCAGCAAAACAGATGACCCTCAGGAAGACAGCTGGACACAGTGGCTGCAAAAATGGGCTCAGACACAGCGATGATGGTGAGGATGGTGTGATGATGGTGAAGATGGTGTGATGATGGTGAGGATGGTGTGATGAGGATGAGGATGGTGTGATGATGGTGAGATGAGGATGAGGATGGTGTGATGAGGATGAGGATGGTGTGATGAGGATGAGGATGGTGTGATGAGGATGAAGATGGTGTGATGATGGTGAGGATGGTGTGATGATGGTGAGGATGGTGTGATGATGGTGAGATGAGGATGAGGGTGGTGTGATGATGGTGAGATGAGGATGAGGATGGTGTGATGATGGTGAAGATGGTGTGATGATGGTGAAGATGGTGTGATGATGGTGAGGATGGTGTGATGATGGTGAGGATGGTGTGATGATGGTGAGGATGGTGTGATGATGGTGATGATGGTGAGATGAGGATGAGGATGGTGTGATGATGGTGAGGATGGTGTGATGAGGATGAGGATGGTGTGATGATGGTGAGGATGGTGTGATGAGGATGAGGATGGTGTGATGATGATGAGATGAGGATGGTGTGATGATGGTGTGATGAGGATGAAGATGGTGTGATGATGATGAGATGAGGATGAGGATGGTGTGATGATGGTGAAGATGGTGTGATGATGGTGAGGGTGGTGTGATGATGGTGAGGGTGGTGTGATGATGGTGAGATGAGGATGAGAGTGGTGTGATGATGGTGTGATGATGGTGTGATGATGGTGTGATGATGGTGTGATGATGGTGATGATGGTGAGATGAGGATGAGGGTGGTGTGATGAGGATGAGGATGGTGTGATGAGGATGAAGATGGTGTGATGATGGTGAGGACGGTGAGATGAGGATGAGGGTGGTGTGACGATGGCGAGGACGGGGCAGGATGGGCAGACTTCCTTCTGTTTGTTGTACGTGGGATCGTGATGAGCCGGAGCTGGTCTGATCGCACCACAAAGCTCAGCTGGGCGGAGCCCTTACTCCTCGTGGGCCCCTTTCACGCTGGCACATGCGGACGCTGTGGCAGGTATTTCAGGTGACGTGATCTCCCAGGCTCAGGAGCACACAGTTACATGCTAGTAAGCCCATGGAGACCTTATAGTGACATCAGGGACCCACTATAGTTCTTGCTCTCCTGAGCACCCTGCAAGCAGGGTGTGAGAGCTGGCCCTGGTTCCCTCCACACTGTCTGTACTAAGTTCAAGGACAACACAGCTGTGAACTCAAGGTTAGACAGAGAACAACTGGGTCCCCACGACCCTGTGCCAGCAGACATTTGGAGTTATGGAGGCATAGACACTTAGAGGCTGTGGTGTGGAGGGGTGAGGGAGCCCTTTCATAACCAGGGAGAGTGGACATTGGTCACTTAGTGAGGTAAGAGGGGACCCAAGGCAGAGGAGAGGCTTTGGAGGTGCCACATCTCTCACATGATGGCCTCTGTGTCCCTCCCTCTGTCTGTCTGGCTCTCTCCCCTCCCTTCTGCACATCTGTCTCTCTACACCTCTCCCTCCTTCTCCGTCCTTCTCTTGGAGTCTTTTCCCTGTCCCACATCCAAATTAGTTCTGATGACCTTCACTGGCCACGTGGCCTGGCCCTCCAGGACTCGGAGCTCAGGGGCTGAGTGGGTGCCACGTTCAGGCAAGGCTGCTCACAGACCTGGGAGCTCTTTGTCAGGAAGTGCCCAGGAGCTGGCTGTAGAACATCGACCCCCACCCCCGGGAGGGGTGTGTGTGTGTGTGTGTGTGTGTGTGTGTGTGTGTGTATCGATCCCCTATCTCCAGCAGGTGCGTGTGTGTGTATGAATCGATCTACCACCTCCAGCAGAGTGTATATGTGTATGTGTGTATCAATTCCCCACTCCAGGAGTGCGTGTATATCGATTCCCCACCTCAGGGGAGGGGGGGTATGTGTGTGTATTGATCCCCCACTCCCAGCAGGGTATATGAGTGTGTGTGTGTGTGTACACTCACTCACTCCTACCACCCCCTGGAAGGTGGACAGTCACAGGGTGTCCACCAGCACCATTGTCCTCTGAGTGCCACAGCTCTCTCACCGTGTTAGCCTTGGTACCCAGAGAACCTTCCGGAGGTGTGTCTAGGCTCTGACATGTCCCAGCCCCTCACCTTGTGCCTCACATGTCCTCAGGGACCCGCTCACCTTGTGTCCAGCGTGTGGGGCCACCCGCAGGCGCACCACGGCGTCCCAGCGCTCAGCTGTCTGATGGTCCCGTGCTGTCACGGTGAAGGCCACCTGCTGGGAGGGGATGCGCAGTTCCCGGGCAGCGAACACCGTGCCGTCTGCACCCACGCGGAAGTCCAGGCTGCTGGTCTCATACTGCGTCCCCTGGGTGCCCAGGCAGCTGCTGAACTTGACTGCAAGAGAAAGGAGGAGGGTCAGGGGGGCCTGCAGAGTGCAGTCTTCCAGCAGAGGGTTTCAGCCCCAAAGCAGCAGGAACACGTATGTTCACCCCTGATCCCCAGAAGGCTCTGTGCACCCGTCCAGGCCCACCCACCCACTGCTGTCCTGAGGACAGAGGGGCACTGCTCACAGTATGTCCAAGGCCATGAGTGCTGGGGAGGGGCAGATGGCCGCATTGTTCTTGAGAGAGGCTGATGATCGTACAACCGACACTCAAGGCTTTAATGACTGTACCACCAGCAGCCCCCTGCTGTCCAGCCGGTCCCCTCTCACAGCCACCCTGCAGGATGGAGAACTGCCCCTCAGTTTGTGAGCTGTCATCTTTATAGAAGCAGGTGCCTTGGCTTTCTCCAGTGGAGTGGGTGGTGGGTTTGAACTGGCAACCTTGGGTCAGCAGTTAACCCCTGTGTCCCCAGCTCCTTTCTATCCCTTCAATACCCAAACTCATTGCTGTAGAGATGATTCTGACTCAGTGACACCGCCCCTTTGAGTTTCCGAGCCTGTAAATCTTTATGGGGGGACCACCCATCTTTCTCCCTCAGAGCTGATGGTTGATTAGAACTACCAACCTCTCAGTTAGCAGCCAGTGTTTTATGCAACCACCAGGGTTCCCGTCTACCCCCTGGAGCCACGCAGTAAATAAATGGATGAATAAGGCACAGCCACCATGGGGGCCGCCTGCCCACGTTCCCTGAGACTGCACTTATGTTTCTGCCCATGGCTTGTGTCCCGTTATTGTTCTCTGTAGACTCAGGGGAGTCTGCCAAGGGCAGCGCGAGTCTCCCTTTATCCAGAACTGCCCTCGCTTCCCAGCAGCACACAAACTGACCCCACACTGCCTTCAAAGCCAAGATGAATCTATTTTTCCACACAAATGAGGTCAAGATCCGAGTTAGTGGCGGTGCCTCAGGCGCTCCTATGGGGGCGTCCCCTCAAAGTACCCCAAATCCCAGTTAAGTAGCTGTGAGTGTACCCTTGTTTGGAAGGGGGGGTCTGGTCTCTGTGGAGCCACCAGTGAACCAGAGATGAGACTTGAGTGCGTGGGTCATTGTGAAAGAGGAAGTAGAGGTGCCAGGAGACAGCACACCAACCATCAGCCCAGAGCCACCGAGGGCCCCCCAGAACCCCCAGAAACTGGGCGAAGGTGTGGGACAGCCCCTCTGATGGAGCTTCAGCTGCTCCCTAGTGCTGCAGGAGAAACATGCCAAGAGGAGGGCTGTGGAGAACAGAGATCTATTCTCTCCCAGTGCTCTAGGGGAAGGCTTGTTTTCTGCCGGCTCTGGGGGACAGTCCTTGCCTCTCTGAGCTTCCGAGATCCCAGTGATCCTCGGTCCCTTCCCCATTTCCACGTGGAGTCTGTCCGTCTTCCCCCCAGACGCCTGGTTCTGTGTCTCCCGCCCTGTTAGTGACTCAGCAGTGAGGCATTTAGGGCCCCGCTGAAGTAACAAAGGAAACCTCTTCCCACAGGGGCTCTGTCCACAGGTGCAGGGGCTGGAATCCCACTTCATATTTGGTCAGGCCTATGGGTCAGTCTCTAGAATGTGAGATTTAACGTACATTCTTTAGAGCCATGAGTTTGGGGTGCTTGTTACAGAGCCCAAGGAACTGATCAGAGAACCACTACTGAGGGCAACAGGGCTCTGCGAGTTACTGAGGTCTGCCCTGCTTGCTGGCCCTTTTCTTTTTATCAGCAAGAGGCAACCCTTCCTTTGAGGAGGGCCAGGTCAGAGGTGGATGACCCTGACCCTATGTCACAGATGGGACTGAGTCCCTCAGACACATCCCCTTGGCTGGGTCCTGGTTCTTAGGGGTGTAATGTCATTTGGCAGTTATACAATGATGCAATCATGCCCTATGATGTGATCTGATGATCAGCCAATCAGTTCTAAGGGATTAGGGGGATGCAGCCCCTTTAACTAGGACCTGCTGTAAGGAGAGTCTTCGGAGTGTGGCCTGCATCACCTCCTGTCTTAGGAAGGATTAAAGGAGAGAAGAGAGAGCAGAGGAGACAGGAGCAGAGTGTGTCTTTGAACCTGAGGGTCCATACATTAAGGACCTTTGACAGCCAGAGTGCGACGGACACCGAGGCAATGGAGACCTCCAGGAAAGCTGACCCCTCCCATGCTGAAAAGAGACCCCGGCCTTCCCCCAGAGCCAACGCAGAGACACAGCCCGAGCCCCCCAGCCTCCCTGTTTGTTACAATGCCCCATTGTGGTAGGTGTCTACAGCAGCTCTAGAGCAGAGACGGGCCACCATTGCTCCTGAGATGTTCCTGAGGACACCGTGTGACCAGACTCTTTCCCACGACGACAGGGTCATGACCATTCTTAACTCCCTTGCAGGAAGTCACCCCAGAGGCTGCACACCCATGTGGACTGCACGTGTGTGTGTGCACGTGTGTTAACGTGTGTGCTCTCCCAGCTGTCACCTAGATTCTCAGTCACCAGCGGCTGTGTCATACACGGCTGACGGAGATGACGGGCGAAGCTGTCTGGTATTTACAAAGGTGCAGGTATCCTGGTAATTCTGGTGGGAGGACTGCTTTTAAAAGCAATGTCACTGTCATGGATTGTATGATTTAATTACTGTTTAGATTGAAAAGAAAAAAAGGTGACTTGACAGAGTATCTCTCCTCGAGTTACCCTCTTACCGTGGCACACTAAGTAACTCAGGTGCCCTCCTCTCAGACACCCCACTTCCACACCTCCCACTTCCAGCAGAAGATGGTCTTAGAAAGGATGCAGCCCAGGGGACACCCCCCCCATCTGAGGCTTGAGTGTGGGGGGTGCCCACGGAGTGAGGTGGTGGGACAGGGACCCACCGCTCCTGGAAAATTTCCCCCCTCTAGAAAGGGGGTGCCAGGGAGGAAGAGCAACCAGGTTGCTCCTGAGAGGGGGGGCTGGTGAGAGCACGCTGTCAGGAGGGGAGAAGGACATCGTGCTGGGAGGAGGGTCAGAGAAAGAGAGGAAGACTCAACAAGAAGTATCAACATGGCGACCGGAACGCAGGGCTCGAGCCCGGAGTGGATTGTGATGATGGTCGGCCGGACGGGGCAGGGCTCCCAGCTGGCGTTCAAGGGCTGCCGTGAGCCCTCGTCACCTCAGGACACCCGACGACAACAGTGAGCAAAGAATTACCTTCCTTCAAACGGCAGCAAAGCTCCAAACAGGGTTCACAGCACTCTTCGCCCAATGATAAACAGATTAAAACCGGCAACAAACTGAGTGGATCAATCATTTTTGACACCCAATTGTCAACAACAAAGACAAAAGTGACAGTCCTGCAATGTGGGAGATGAGCAGGAATTCACAGAGAAGCCTCTTGATGTTCATAAAGTGAATCTTTAATAAAACTGATGGGGCCGGGCCTGCAGGCTGAGTGGCGACACCGACACCGTCCTGTGAGGAAAGAGCCGTGAAGGTGTGGACACGTCTTAGGTAGGCGTCCGTGGGGCTTACAAAAAGGAGGACACCAGGAGCCGAACTTGCATTAACCCGGCTTCAATTGGGCTGCTGAACAGAGATGAATAGTTCGAATCAACGAGCCACTTCCAGAAGAGAGGGGAAGCAGCCTTCCTCCACGGAGATGACAGCTTGGCAAGGCTGACAGGCAGCTCTCTCTGCCCTACAGGGACTCCGTGGACCTGGCAGCACTGGGCAGTTGGGTGACGGGGTCCTTGGAGCCCACGTGGAGGAGCCTCTATGACATTAAGGATGGTGTCATCAGAATGCACCTCACACGTGGCCTTGGAATCACCCCTGTGGGCGTGAGACAGACCCAGGCCCCCGCCATGCGGCGTGTGTAAGATCTACATGGAATTGTGTCTGGGTTTTTGGTAAAATCAAGCTGTTAGTTTCGGTTGAGTCAGTTCCAACTCTCACACCTCGTGTCCAAGAGAAGCAAATACTATCCACCCTGGGCTGTCCGCTGTCACCAGTCCTCTTGAACCTGCTGCAGTGGCCTCTCTGTACTGTGAGCACCTTCCAGTGAAGGGGTTCATCCTCCAGCTCTGTATTGGGTGAGACTCTAGGGATTCACCCGCTTTTCATGGGCTGGCGTTTGGAAGTATATTGCCAGGCCTTTCTTCCTAGTCTTAGGCTAGATGGTTCACTGACAGTTGCTCACCACAGGTAACCCTGTTGGAGTTTTAAATACTGGTGACAGAGCCTCCAGTATCACAGTGACACGGAAACCACAAGGAGGACAGACTACAGGTGGATGGGGGGAGCTTACCTAGTGTGTGATTAGCCATTCTCACCTGAACAAATCAATGACATTCAGTGAGTATATCCTAGTAATGGGCAGCCGCTCCCTCTCCACATTGCCACAGCATCATCCCCTCCAAGAACAAGCACTCTCAAACACTGTTGCTGCTCCTGCCAGCCCCTGGCCTCTCTGGCTCTGCCTACTCTGGTCGTCTCTCACAGGTGTGCTGTGGTTTCAGGCCGTCTCTCACAGGTGTGCTGTGGTTCCAGGTAATTTCTCATAGGTGTACTGCTGGGCCAGGCCGTCTCTCATAGGTGTACTGCTGGGCCAGGCCATCTCTCACAGGTGTGCTGTGGTGTCAGGCCATCTCTCACAGGTGTGCTGTGGTTTCAGGCCATCTCTCACAGGTGTGCTGTGGTTTCAGGCCGTCTCTCACAGGTGTGCTGTGGTTCCAGGTCATTTCTCATAGGTGTACTGCTGGGCCAGGCCGTCTCTCATAGGTGTACTGCTGGGCCAGGCCATCTCTCATAGGTGTACTGCTGGGCCAGGCCATCCCTCACAGGTGTGCTGTGGTGCCAGGCCGTCTCTCATAGGTGTACTGCTGGGCTGGGCCTCCTGCCCTTGGCACAATGTTGCACAGCTTCATCCAGGCTGCCACATGCATCCATGACATTTTAAAAGTTAAAGGTGTCCCACAGAAATCTAGCCCTGGGCTGTAGGTCTGCTTTCTTGTCTGGCCTCAATGAACACGCTGAGGAGGAAGGGGTGCGTCACTGAACGGAATCTTCTCTAAAAACCACTGAAACCACTAATTAACAATGGATAAGGGATTCGAACCTTAAACAGACAATTCTCCAAAGACCTCCAGATGCGAACCAGCATGTGTAAAGGTACTCAGCATTAGCCCATCGCGGTGAGGTCGATGTTGATCATGGGGACCCCACAAGGCTTCTGACGCTGCAGCCTCTATGGAAGCCAGCTGCCACATCTTCCTCCTGTGGCTGGTGGATTTGAACCACTGATCTTGTAGTTAGCTGCTCTGTGTGCTACAGCACTGGGCTTCCTATGCCCAGTCCCTCCACTGCCAGTGTGCACACAGAGACCTGAAAGGAAGGACTCAAACAGACGCGTGCACGGCGACTCCCACTGCAGCACAGCTCACAGCAGTGGTGGACACAACCCCCTGAGGTCCCCCCGAGGTTCCCCGGGTCTGTCGGCATTCAGCCTGGCACGTGTCCCCCATCGGGATCGGCTCATTACCACCATCTGCTTGGAGACACTGGACAAGGGCAGGAGATGGGTTCCGATTGTTTAAGCATAGGCGGACAGGCCAGCCTGCCTTGTCGTTTCGGCAGGTCCTACAGCCCTGCTGGCCCTGGGGACAGCCCCAGGATGGCGAGGGTGCCAGTGTGGAGAAAAACTCTCGGGCGTTGGGAGGCCTTCTAGAAGGTTCTGGCATTTCTGCTGAGATGGATGTGTGTGTGCATCATGTACTGTGTGCTACAGTAAAGAGGTATGGCTTAACTATGCTTCTAGAACTTTCCAAGATGCTTATAGAATGTCAGGGGTGGACGGTCTCCCAGGAACTTCCCACACCACTTCCAGGCTATATCAATCAGGAAGCTGAATGTGTGGGTGAAAATCCCTTCTTGGGGTGAAGTGGTCACACAAGAGCTATCGAGGGGCTGCAGTCACTGCGGATGTCCCCTCTGGGTACTTCCTGTGCGTCACAGAACTGGATGCAGATCTGAGGTGCACACTCCCTGGCCGAGCATGGTGGTTCTGGGCTCAGACGGTGCCAGATGCCAGGGCTTGATGCTCGGCCTGCGAATCAGCCGTAATCAGGATGCCGGCAAAGTGGCCCCACCTCTCCGGACTCCCTGTGAACAACCTCCCCACAAACATCGCTTTGCTGGACGGGTGCAGCCAGGCTTATCCGAGGCTTATGCCAAACCTGGAGTCAGGCGGTGGCCGAGAGGAAACCTGCTTCATTAGGAGGAGTTCGGTTTAGCCCTCACCCTCGTCACTTTTAATTGGCTTGTTCCTGACAGCGGGTGGAAACAGAGTGACATGAGGTCACTCCTCACCTGGGCAGCCCCGACCCCACAAAGCATCTGGGGTTTCCTCTTGGGACAGGTGAGGGGACTCAGTGTGTGCTGGTGTATGGGGGAAGGTGGCCCAGCAGAGGTCAGGGTGGGGCTGGGGCCACCCAGGGACACATGGGACAAACCATCACGATGAACACACGGCGGGCACGAGAGAAGAGAGGGCCTGTGGGCGAAGGGTTTGCAGAGACCTCACTGAGGGAAAACCAGCCTGTGGGGTTGGAGGAGGGGTGGTCTGGGGCGGGGGCAGTATGAGGAAAAGATCACGGGCACTGAGAGGCCAGTGGGCGAACAGGAGCCCATAGACTGGGGAGTGGGGGAGAGGCAGTGTGCAGGCTTGTTGTGGGCACAGCACTGCTGAATGTGGCCAGGCCACTGGACAGGTGAACAGGGGCCAGCTACCCAGACGATTCTGCTCAGAAAAAGCAAACCCACTTGCCCCTCTGACTGACACGCCAGCCTCCCTCTCCTTGGATGCAGTGAGTTGTGAAGGCCTAACGGCATCATCTGCATTTAATTAAGGCTCAGGTAGAGAATGCCTCGTCCCCCCAAGAGGCTGCCTTCCTCCTCTGCATCCCGTCCCGCTGTGGACACTAGCCTTGTCTTGGCTGTGCTCTATGATTGTGCTCTGGGTTGCCAGGCCCCAGCTGCCGCCTGCTCTGTCAGCAAGGACCCTGCTGTGGCCATGCCCACCCCTGGCTGAGGGGTCGAGGGTCTTCCATCCTTACAAAGCTCACAGAGGACCCCAACATCTGGGGAGAGGGTGGTGTTCGGGCCTAGAGGGCCTGAGGTTACTGTGATTCCATCAACAGGAGCCTGGCTGGTATTTGGAGGGCAGCTGAGTTCTGCTTAGAGATGGGGGCTGAGCCAGGGGCTACCCTCCTGTACTGGCCTGACTG